GCAGAGTCACTGGTGTGGAACAATGTGCCAAGCAGAGTCACTGGTGTGGAACAACGTGCCAAGCAGAGTCACTGGTGTGGAACAATGTGCCAAGCAGAGTCACTGGTGTGGAACAATGTGCCAAGCAGAGTCACTGGTGTGGAACAATGTGCCAAGCAGAGTCACTGGTGTGGAACAATGTGCCAAGCAGAGTCACTGGTGTGGAACAATGTGCCAAGCAGAATCACTGGTGTGGAACAATGTGCCAAGCAGAGTCACTGGTGTGGAACAATGTGCCAAGCAGAGTCACTGGTGTGGAACAATGTGCCAAGCAGAGTCACTGGTGTGGAACAATGTGCCAAGCAGAGTCACTGGTGTGGAACAATGTGCCAAGCAGAGTCACTGGTGTGGAACAATGTGCCAAGCAGAGTCACTGGTGTGGAACAATGTGCCAAGCAGAGTCACTGGTGTGGAACAATGTGCCAAGCAGAGTCACTGGTGTGGAACAATGTGCCAAGCAGAGTCACTGGTGTGGAACAATGTGCCAAGCAGAGTCACTGGTGTGGAACAATGTGCCAAGCAGAATCACTGGTGTGGAACATGTGCCAAGCAGAGTCACTGGTGTGGAACAATGTGCCAAGCAGAGTCACTGGTGTGGAACAATGTGCCAAGCAGAGTCACTGGTGTGGAACAATGTGCCAAGCAGAGTCACTGGTGTGGAACAATGTGCCAAGCAGAGTCACTGGTGTGGAACAATGTGCCAAGCAGAGTCACTGGTGTGGAACAATGTGCCAAGCAGAGTCACTGGTGTGGAACAATGTGCCAAGCAGAGTCACTGGTGTGGAACAATGTGCCAAGCAGAGTCACTGGTGTGGAACAATGTGCCAAGCAGAGTCACTGGTGTGGAACAATGTGCCAAGCAGAGTCACTGGTGTGGAACAATGTGCCAAGCAGAGTCACTGGTGTGGAACAATGTGCACCTAATAAATGGATGAGTGCAGAGGGTAAGGTCTAAGAAGAGCTTACCCAGCATATAAGCAGGAAGGTGGAGGGGACCCCGGTTCAAGCCTCCCGTCCACCTCTCTGCTTACTCATAAATAAGCTATATTCATTATAAGGATTAAATCACCCTGTCTGTAAGACAACATTACCCTTCCAGGATTCCAGGTAGCGTCTGTCAGTAGGTCATTCGGACAATAGTTGATCCTCTTTTGTTCGTGAACCAGCATTCGTGATCCAACATTCTTTTCTGTATTGTATTGTGTCAAAAGATAAACATCTCCGGCTGAATTAGTGACAATTGTGGCATACAGACTTTTATCTCTGTCACATTGTCTGAGAAAATAACCGCCGGAAAGATGGTATGGAAATTGGGCTAAGTGTATGCGATAAAGTGCGTGAGTGTGTGGGCAAGTGAGTGTGTGAGAGAACAAGTGAGTGTGTGAGAGAGCAAGTGTGTGTGTGAGAGAGCAAGTGAGTGTGTGAGAGAGCAAGTGGGTGTGTGAGAGAGCAAGTGAGTGTGTGAGAGAACAAGTGAGTGTGTGAGAGAGCAAGTGAATGTGTGAGGAGAGAAAGTGAGTGTGTGAGAGAGCGAATTTGTGTGAGAGCAAGTGAGTGTGTGAGAAAGCAAGTGAGTGTGTGAGAGAGCAAGTGAGTGTGTGAGAGAGCAAGTGAGTGTGTGTGAAAGAAAGTGAGTGTGTGAGAGAGCAAGTGAGTGTGTGAGAGAGCAAGTGAGTGTGTGAGAGAGCAAGTGAGTGTGTGAGAGAGCAAGTGAGTGTGTGAGAGAGCAAGTGTGTGAGAGAGCGAGTGTGTGAGAGAGCAAGTGAGTGTATGAGAGAGCAAGTGAGTGTGTGAGAGAGCAAGTGAGTGTGTGAGAGAGCAAGTGAGTGTGTGAGAGAGCAAGTAAGTGTGTGAGAGAGCGAGTGAGTGTGTGAGAGAGCAAGTGTGTGAGAGAGCGAGTGAGTGTGTGTGAGAGCAAGTGAGTGTGTGAGAGAGCCAGTATGTGAGAGAGCGAGTGAGTGTGTGAGAGAGCAAGTGAGTGTGTGAGAGAGTGTGTGAGAGAGCAAGTGTTTGAGAGAGCAAGTGTGTGAGAGAGCAAGTGAGTGTGTGAGAGAGCAAGTGTGTGTGTGAGAGATCAAGTGAGTGTGTGAGAGAGCAAGTGAGTGTGTGAGAGAGTGTGTGAGAGAGCAAGTGTTTGAGAGAGCAAGTGTGTGAGAGAGCAAGTGAGTGAGTGTGTGAGAGAGCAAGTGAGTGTGTGAGAGAGCAAGTGAGTGTGTGAGAGAGCGAGTGAGTGTGTGAGAGAGCAAGTGAGTATGCGTAAGAGCAAGTGAGTGTGTGAGAGAGCAAGTGAGTGTGTGAGAGAGCAAGTGAGTGTGTGAGAGAGCAAGTGAGTGTGTGAGAGAGTGTGTGAGAGAGCAAGTGTGTGAGAGAGCAAGTGAGTGTGTGAGAGAGCAAGTGAGTGTGTGAGAGTGTGTGAGAGAGCAAGTGTGTGAGAGAGCAAGTGTGTGAGAGAGCAAGTGAGTGTGTGTGTGAGAGAGAAGTGAGTGTGTGAGAAAGCAAGTGAATGAGTGAGAGAGCAAGTGAGTGTGTGAGAGAGCAAGTGAGTGTGCGTGAAAGAAAGTGAGTGTGTGAGAGAGCAAGTGAGTGTGTGAGAGAGCAAGTGTGTTAGAGAGCGAGTGTGTGAGAGAGCAAGTGAGTGTGTGAGAGAGCAAGTGAGTGTGTGAGAGAGCAAGTGTGTGTGTGAGCGAGTGTGTGAGAGATCAAGTGTGTGTGTGATAGAGCAAGTGAGTGTGTGAGAGAGCAAGTGTGTGTGTGAGAGAGCAAGTGAATGTGTGTAAGAGCAAGTGAGTGTGTAAGAGAGCAAATGTGTGAGAGAGCAAGTGAGTGTGTGAGAGAGCAAGTGTGTGTGTGATAGAGCAAGTGAGTGTGTGTGAGAGCAGGTGAGTGTGTTGTGAGAGCAAGTGTGTGAGAGGGGAAATGTGTGAGAGAGCAAGTGAGTGTGTGAGAGAGAGCAAGTGTGTGTGTGAGGGAGCAAGTGAGTGTGTGAGAGAGCAAGTGTGTGAGAGAGCAAGTGTGTGAGAGAGAGCAAGTGTGTTAGAGAGCGAGTGTGTGAGAGAGCAAGTGTGTGAGAGAGAGCAAGTGTGTGAGAGAGCAAGTGTGTGAGAGAGAGCAAGTGTGTGAGAGAGCAAGTGTGTGAGAGAGCAAGTGTGTGAGAGAGCAAGTGTGTGAGACATGAAGAGACTGTGCATGTGCTGGAGAGAAAATGTTCAGAGCGGGAGAGAATACCTGTGGTAGGATACTTATGCTTCTCATTGCAATTAACTTATTAACGTAAAGCAATAAAACCGTATGGGGAAGGGTGTTTCTCACCTGGAGTGTCAGGTAGACAGGTGTTCCTCACCTGAAGAGTCAGGTAGACTGTTGTCCCTTACCTGGAGAGTCAGGTAGACTGTTATTCCTCACCTGGAGTGTCAGGTAGACTGTTGTCCCTCACCTGGAGTGTCAGGTAGACTGTTATTCCTCACCTGGAGTGTCAGGTCTCACCTGGAGTATCAGGTAGACTGTTATTCCTCACCTGGAGTGTCAGGTAGACTGTTGTTCCTCACCTGGAGTGTCAGGTAGACTGTTGTCCCTCACCTGGAGTGTCAGGTAGACTGTTGTCCCTCACCTGGAGTGTCAGGTAGACTGTTATTCCTCACCTGGAGTGTCAGGTAGACTGTTGTCCCTCACCTGGAGCGTCAGGTAGACTGTTATTCCTCACCTGGAGTGTCAGGTAGACTGTTGCCCCTCACCTGGAGTGTCAGGTAGACTGTTGTCCCTCACCTGGAGTGTCAGGTAGACTGTTATTCCTCACCTGGAGTGTCAGGTAGACTGTTGTCCCTCACCTGGAGTGTCAGGTAGACTGTTATTCCTCACCTGGAGTGTCAGGTCTCACCTGGAGTGTCAGGTAGACTGTTGTTCCTCACCTGGAGTGTCAGGTAGACTGTTGTTCCTCACCTGGAGTGTCAGGTAGACTGTTGTCCCTCACCTGGAGTGTCAGGTAGACTGTTGTTCCTCACCTGGAGTGTCAGGTAGACTGTTGTCCCTCACCTGGAGTGTCAGGTAGACTGTTGTCCCTCACCTGGAGTGTCAGGTAGACTGTTGTCCCTCACCTGGAGTGTCAGGTAGATTGCTATTCCTCACCTGGAGTGTCAGGTCTCACCTGGAGTGTCAGGTAGACTGTTGTTCCTCACCTGGAGTGCCAGGTAGAATGTTGTTCCTCACCTGGAGTGTCAGGTCTCACCTGGAGTGTCCGGTAGGCTGGTGTTCCTCACCTGGAGTGTCAGGTAGGCTGGGGCTCCTCACATGGAGTCAGGTAGACTGCTGTTCCTCACCTGGAGCGTCAGGTAGACTGTTATTCCTCACCTGGAGTGTCAGGTAGACTGTTGTTCCTCACCTGGAGTGTCAGGTAGACAGGTGTTCCTCACCTGGAGAGCCAGGTAGACTGTTATTCCTCACCTGGAGTGTCAGGTAGACAAGTGTTCCTCACATGGAGAGTCAGGTAGACTGTTGTTCCTCACCTGGAGTGTCAGGTAGACTGTTGTTCCTCACCTGGAGTGTCAGGTAGACTGTCGTTCTTCGCCTGGGGTGTCAGGTAGACTGTTGTTCCTCACCTGGAGTGTCAGGTAGACTGTTGTTCCTCACCTGGAGTGTCAGGTAGACTGTTGTTCCTCACCTGGAGTGTCAGGCAGACCGGTGTTCCTTACCTGGAGAGTCAGGTAGACTGTTGTTCCTCACTTGGAGTGTCAGGTAGACTGTTGTTCCTCACCTGGAGAGTCAAATTGACTTGCGTTCCTCACTTGAAAAGTCAGATTGACTGGTGTTCCTCACCTGGAGAGTCAGACTGACTGTGTTCCTCACCTGAAGAGTCAGTTGACTGGTGTTCCTCACCTGGAGAGTCAGATTGACTGTGTTCCTCACCTGAAGAGTCAGAGTGACTGGTGTTCCTCACCTGGAGAGTCAGAGTGACTGGTGTTCCTCACCTGGAGAGTATAGTTGGGTAGGTTGCCGGGGTCGCTGAAGGTGGTCATCTCGCAGGAGCCGGTGTGGTTGTGTGCCACGTCTTGTTGCACGCTCTGGAGATTTATACTGGCTCTCACATTGGACACAATGTTGCTGAACGCCGCCTCCAGACCTGTTTGTGCCAGCATTGTGTGAGTGCTAGTGGTGGTGGCGAGGAGGCGAGTGTGCGAGCAGCGAGACTGAGGGGTTGCTGCAGTAATGTCAGTCTGCGTGCTTGTGTGTGTTAGGTACTTAGTTACCATTTTGTCCTAGGCACAGTGTGTGTGTGTGTGTGTGTGTGTGTGTGTGCGTGTGTGTGTGTGTGTGTGTGTGTGTGTGTGTGTGTGTGTGTGTGTGTGCGTGTGTGTGTGTGTGTGTGTGTGTGTGTGTGTGTGTGTGTGTGCGTGTGTGTGTATTCATCTAATTGTACTCACCTAATTGCGGTTGCAGAGGTCGAGACTCAGCTCCTGGCCCAGCCTCTTCTCTGACGTCTACTGGGTCCTCCCTGTCCCTACTCCATGAGCTTTATCATGCCTCGTCTTAAAACTGTGTATGGTTCCTGCCTCCACTACATCACTTGCCAGACTATTCCACTTCCTAACAACTCTGTGGCTGAAGAAATACTTCCTATCTCTTTGACTTATCTGAGTCTTCAACTTCCAATTGTGACCCTTGTTTCTGTGTCCCATCTCGGGAATATCTTGTCTCTGTCCACCTTATCTATTCCTCGTAGTATTTTTTATGTCGTTATCATGTCTCCTCTAGCCTTCCTGTCCTCCAGTGTCGTCAGACTGATTTCCCTTAACCTTTCTTCATAGGACATTCCCCTTAGCTCTGAAACTAACCTTGTTGCAAACCTTTGCACTTTCTCTAATTTCTTGACGTGCTTGACCAGGTGTGCATTCCACACTGGTGCTGCATACTCCAGTATGGGCTTAACGTACACGGTATACAAAGTCTTGAACGATTCCTTACCGAGGTATCGGAACGCTATTTTCAGGTTTGCCAGGCGCCCATGTGCTGCAGCAGTTATCTGATTGATGTGTGCTTATTTATTTATTTATTTTATGTCTTTGCAAACAGTACATTGAGATTTTGTATTTACAATAATGGGCTGCAATGCAAAGAGAGCCTCTATTATGCCTAGGCATTATGGGCCAACTTAACATTATTGGCTTACAGACTACTTAACACTAAGGATTATATCATAGTTCTACAGTAGGATAGTAATTATTTCATAGTTGTACAGTAGATTATTAATTATAAATGAATCAAAATTTGTATAAGACAAAAGATATATTCATATATTCGAAAATGATTTTTGTGAAAACAATGATTCAATTATATTCCTGTCAACAATGGATAAAAGGTCCAAAGTGATTGTTGAAGTTATGATGTGGGAGTGCATAAGTGAGTAAGTGTGTACTGAGTATTTAGCATTTAGTGTAGGGCGATTAAGTGGCTTTTGAGAAGAGTCTTAAATTGATTTTCAGACTGGGTTACTTTAATATCTTCTGGTAATAAATTCCATATTTTGGGGCCGTTTATGTGCATAGAGTTTTTACACAGTGTGATATGGACATGAGGTATATCAAAAAGAGATCTGTGTCTTGTGTTGTGGTGTTGTGTCCTGTTAAGGTTGGTGAGGAGAAGTTTGAGTGGAGGGTTTATATTTGCGTGTATTGTTCTGTGTATGTAGTAGGCACATGAATAAGTATGGATGTTCTTAATGGTGAGCAGATTCAGACTCTGAAAATTGGTGGAGTATACTGACGGTTAGTTAGTTTAATATGTTTATTATGCACCCCATACCCATCATGTGGGTGGTAGTCACCCCATACCCATCCTATGGGCGGTAGTCAAAAGATTACAGAGGTACATAATGGGTCCAGGGACTGGGCCTCAAAGTTTTGATAGCTGAGCAAGTTACAGAGGTAATGAATTCACAATTTACAAAGGTAATGAACTCATAATTTACAAAGGTAATGAACTCACAATTTACAAAGGTAATGAACTCCAGGTAGGTCTAGTCACAATCATGACAAGTTACAAAGGTATTTACAGATTACAGAGGTACGTAATGGGTCCAGGGACCGGGCTCCCAAAGTTGTGATGGCTGAACTAGGTACAAGGTAATGAACTCGCAAGTTACAAAGGTAATGAATACTGTAAGAATGGTTACTTACGTTTATACATGGCTACAATCATGAACAAATTATAGAGTAGTACTGAGCAATTCACACTTCCACACCCGGTCACAACTGTAGTGAGTTATTGGTGCAAATATTGACCCCTGCAACCACAATTAGGGGAGTACACACACACACCACACACACACACACACACACACACACACACACACACACACACACACACACACAACCACACCACAAACCACACACACACACACACACACACACACACACACACACACACACACATACAACACACACACACACACACACACACACCACACACACACACACACAACCACACACACACACACATACACACACACACACACACACACACACACACACCACACACACACCACACACACACACACACACACACACACACATGTGGACAAAATGGTAACTAACTAACACACCTACACACCTACAACAGGCCTAGTGTCTAATCGACATGTGCCTAGGACAAAATAGTAACTAACCTACACACCTACAACAGGCCTAGTGTCTAATCGACATGTGCCTAGGACAAAATGGTAACTAACTAACACAGTCTAGGGGGCCAAAGACTACAAACCTCACTCAAGGAAAAATATCTTGGGGTGAGTATAACACCAGGCAAATCTCCTGAAGCGCACATCAACCAAATAACTGCTGCAGCATATGGGCGCCTAGCAAACCTCAGAACAGCATTCCGACATCTTAATAAGGAGTCGTTCAGGACCTTGTACACCGTGTACGTTAGGCCCATATTGGAGTATGCGGCACCAGTTTGGAACCCACACCTAGCCAAGCACGTAAAGAAACTAGAGAAAGTGCAAAGGTTTGCAACAAGACTAGTCCCAGAGCTAAGAGGTATGTCCTACGAGGAGAGGTTAAGGGAAATCAACCTGACGACACTGGAGGACAGGAGAGATAGGGGGGGCATGATAACGACATACAAAATACTGAGAGGAATTGACAAGGTGGACAAAGACAGGATGTTCCAGAGATTGGACACAGTAAACAAGGGACACAGTTGGAAGCTGAAGACACAGATGAATCACAGGGATGTTAGGAAGTATTTCTTCAGCCACAGAGTAGTCAGTAAGTGGAATAGTTTGGGAAGCGATGTAGTGGAGGCAGGATCCATACATAGCTTTAAGCAGAGGTATGATAAAGCTCACGGCTCAGGGAGAGTGACTTAGTAGCGATCAGTGAAGAGGCGGGGCCAGGAGCTCGGACTCGACCCCCGCAACCTCAACTAGGTGAGTACTAGGTGAGTACACACACACACAACCACACACACACGTACACACACACACACACACAACCACACACACACAGGGATGTTAGAAGTATTTCTTCAGCCACAGAGTAGTCAGTAAGTGGAACAGTTTAGGAAGCGATGTAGTGGAGGCAGGATCCATACATAGCTTTAAGCAGAGGTATGATAAAGCTCATGGTTCAGGGAGAGTGACCTAGTAGCGACCAGTGAAGAGGCGGGGCCAGGAGCTTGGAATCGACCCCTGCAACCTCAACTAGGTGAGCACACACACACACACACACACACACACACCCAGAGCTCAAGGGAATGTCGTACGAGGAAAGGTTAAGGGAAATCGGACTGACGACACTGGAGGACAGAAGGGTCAGGGGAGACATGATAACGACATACAAGATACTGCGGGGAATAGACAAGGTGGACAGAGATAGGATGTTCCAGAGAGGGGACACAGGGACAAGGGGTCACAACTGGAAGCTGAAGACTCAGACGAGTCACAGGGACGTTAGGAAGTATTTCTTCAGTCATAGAGTTGTCAGCAAGGGGAAATTTGCCTAGAAAGTGAAAGTAGTGGAGGCAGGAACCATACATAGTTTTAAGAAGAGGTATGAAAAAGGGTCAGGAAGCAGAGAGAGAGAGGACCCAAAGTAGCGATCAGTGAAGAGGCGGGGCCAGGAGCTGAGTCTCGACCCCTGCAACCACAATTAGGTGAATTAGGTGAGTACACACACCACAGGCTGGGAGGGTCAGGCCTAGTGTCAAAATCGAAAATGTGCCTAGGACAGAATGGTAACTAACACCCCAACACAACACACACACACAACACACACACCCCACACCACACACACACACACCACACAACCACCACACACACACACCACACAACACCACACACACACACACAAAACACACAAAACACCAACAACACCCCACACCACACACATTCTCAGAACATACAACCTATCACACCATACCAACACACACTACAGTCCATACCCACAGCCTCCACCCAACCCCGAGCTATAGAATCCCACAGTATGCCCCCAGGTCTCCCACCCTAAACAGGCCCCCCAAAACCACGTGTTGGAAAGGAAACTAAAAGGTTTAGGGTTTACAACAAACGCTGATGGAACAACAAATAAGTGTGAGGAGTGGCATGAAAGAGTCAAAGAAGCATCACCGGAATCATACCCTCTCACAGAAACCAAGCTTACAGGTATGATATCAGATGCCTTTCTTTCCAACGGGATACCAAATCTGAGGAAAGAAGAGGGGAACAGGGGGGGTGGAGGAGTGGCATTGCTGATCAAAAATCGCTGGAATTTTGATGAGCTGGAGAGAGGAGACAGCGGAGAAGAAAGTGATTACATAGGGGGAACGCTTCACTCTGGAGGTCCCAAGGTGGTAATAGCAGTGATGTATAACCCACCGCAGAACAGCAGGAGGCCCAAGGCAAGAGTACGACGAGAGCAATAGAGCGATGGTTGACACACTGGCTAGAGTGGCTAGAAGAGCTCATGCTTTGCAGGGCAAAGCTCCTGATCATGGGTGACTTTAACCACAAGGAGATCGATTGGGAGAATTTTGGACCCACATGGGGCCAAGATAATGGAGGGCTAAAAATGATGGAGGTGGGACTGAAAACTTCATGTACCAACACGTAAGGGACACTACAAGAGAGAGAGGAGAGGATGAACCAGCAAGGTGGCTTAGTATTCACCTTGACTAGTGCAGATATCGAGGACATACATATGAAAGACCCCTTGGGGCCAGTGACCAGTGGTTTTAAGCTTTCGATTACACAGTAGAGCTACAAGTGGAGGGGGAAGAGAAGCAGGA